CCCTGTTACCCCGGCTGTTGAAGCTGAAATGCGCAAGAGATTCAACACTGCCTTGCGCTTGGAATGTCATCAGTTGAATCAATACGAGTTTGAAGTCAAGGGAGTGCACTCTGACCATGTTGTTAACCTTTCAAATAAAACTTGCACCTGCCAAGTGTTTGACAAGGATATGATACCTTGCGTGCATGCACTCGCTTGTTCAGAACGCACAGGCATAGATTGTTATAGCCTGTGTAGTAAATTATACACAAAGGAATACATGTATATCGCATACGCGGAAACAATCTACCCCGTGCCACATGAAGATGACTGGGATGCCAATGGAATGGAGCTCTTAGAAGTCAAACCCCCTATATTGAACAAGCAAAGAGGAAGGCCAACAACGAAGAGATTTCCATCGGACGGCGAGGCACGAAAAAAATATAAATTGACATGTTCTGGTTGCCAAGGAAAAGGGCATACAGTACGGACATGCGCAAAGAGACCTCGTAAAGACACATCTACGACAAATGACTTGAATAATACTGATTGCATGTAATTGTATTCGAAGAGAGGTCTAAATGTTTCGAATTAAACTAAATTCTATTATTGAAATTAAAAATAATTCTATTGCAGTCAAATTTATCAAATTGATTGTGTAAAATATTGGTAATTTTTTAATATGGAATACACTGACTAATATTTGAATTTTGAATGGAACGAAGGGACTTTTACACTCTAATTAACAATTAATACATGAATGAAGATATGTGTGAACGGTTGGCATTCAATTCTGTATATAAAGATATGCATGGACGGTTGGGGAAATACGTTGCATTTAGGACGTTTTATATACTCCGTATATTTTAATAATAATAATAATAATAATAATAATAATAATAATAATAATAATAATAATAATAATAATAATAATAATAATAATAATAATAATAATAATAATAGAAGGAGAAGAAGAAAAAATAATTACTCTAAAAGAATTACTCTAAAAGAGGTATAATAATAATAAGTAGTTGGGGAAATTCAAATATGGTTAGAAAGCATTTAAGAGGTTTTGAATGCATTTAGGACGTTTAATGAGTAGTTGGGAAAATACGTTGCATTTAAGACGTTTTATATACTCCGTATAGATTAGTGCTATATATACTAGTGCAATTGCTTATCTTTATTCACAAAAATCCCTCAAAAAAATGCCAAAAACTTTCGTCATATATCTAGAGGAAGAGGATAATGCTCGCAACAAATTTCTTGAAGATCACTTCCATTGGTACTCCAAAGTCAACATAATACCAATGGGAAGTGAGCTTTAAGAAATTTCTTTCCGAGCATTCGCGTCATATTATGCTTTGAACTACGTATTCAACTCCCAAGGCAGCGTCTGTTTCCATGATCTCATGGCTAGGCTCAACCTACATAGAATTCGAATACATTTGAAAACTTAGACTGCATTTCGAAGGCACTTGTAGGAAGATTTTTAATTTTACCATTGCATGCAGAGGCTTCGTTGAGGTAGCATCTTCTGTTCCCATTGTCTCGTGGGTAGACTCAGCCTGCAGACAAGAACAAAAAATATGAATCTATTTTCGGAAGTCAAATGCATTGTAAGTTAAGATTAGAAATTACCTTCCTGTTCTCCAAACTAAGAACAGAATCAGAATGAGTTGAAGGTTGATTTTCGTGCTCTTGTTCAATTTCCCCAACAATTTGGAGAATATCAAGTATTGGACAATTTGGAGAAACCTATAGAGTATGAAGTATGAAAATGATGAGATTGAAGAATGAAATGATATTATTATTTCACTTAACATATGCAAACAAATGAAATAACTCTATTAAACCCCAAACCGTTCGGTCAGGGGAAGGATTTCGTGCCTCGGTCTCCTCACAATCACCCATGATTGTCGTCTCTGGCACCTGAACGTTAACAGATCTTACAAATGTTAAACTGAACAAAACGTTTCGACTACATTCGAGGTATTCGACTATACTTCGACGTACCTCCTGCGGATTCTTGGTTGGTTCTTCTCCTGATTCAGTTACATTCACCTTCATATTTTTACATAAGAATTGATCAGTTCTGATCAATTAAAATAATTGGATGACTTTCAAAAGCTTTCATCATACCTTATTCACAATCTTTTGATTTATTAAAGTTGATAAAGCATCAACTTTTTTTCAAGCACTTCAAACCTCTTTCTTTGTTCGTCTGCAATGTTATCAATTTTCTTTGACATTCGATCAAAGAGTTCTTGAAAGGTATTGGATGAAGGCTTGGCGGGGTGAGGGTTAGGAGACGATGGATTTGGGATGTTGGAATGGGAGACTCTAGAAGGAGATTCCCTAAGGCTCTGACTCCTCTGAGATTCTTGGGGAGAGGAGATGTGCTTATTACGCTCTTCAGAATTATCTCTTGTTGGTGAAGGGACATTCCGGGCTTTTCTCTTCCTCTCCACCGGAATGTGGACTTCCCCTCTACACTCTAATTTTGCCACAAATGCATCCAACTCGGGGTGTTTTGTGGTCTCTAGAGGCTGGAAGTTCAAATACCACTCTGCAGTTGCCTCAAACTTGTCGGGAACAAGAATGCTCTTTAGAGACTGCAACCAAAACAATGACACTTTATTTTTGGAATTCATTAAATTTTAATCTTTTA